AAGGATTGTTGTGATTTTTATTTATTAAAAAAAAGAAAAAAAAAATAGTCCAATACCTATCTATGACTAAACATGAGAGAAATAAAAACTGTCGAGTTTCCAACATGTCACTTCATACAAAACTATATCTTCATAGTTTATAAATACATAAAAATATAAAAAAATATCAAATAAATCGCATGAGGTTATCCTCCATTAACCTACTTTTGAAAAATTTCATAAAATATGAAGGTCTCCCACTACGATTTCACTTATTTTCACATATATTGTGTATCTACAGTTCAATAATGAACCTTAACTCATTCGTGGCATATCGAATCCCAAACCTACAACTATGCTCTCTATTTTGAAAAAACAAAAACAAGTATTTTTTCGTCGATGACAAAATACTTATTCAAAGATGGTGCAATGCATCATACTGCATCATTGTTATATTGTCATTTGGTGTCATTTCCGTAATAACCTCAGTCATCATTACTGATAATGGAGACTCATGGTTCAGTATGAAAAGTTCATTGTACTTACTTTGAGTTTGGGAAATCCCCAAAGTAAGTCCGTGGAGTACAAGGCTAAAAAATAACAAAAGGTAATTTCAATCGATGGTCGATGTTACCAAAAGAAGAGTACACGACCCGATAATTACCAAAAGACTACAAAAAAAATATTGCAAATAATAACATAAACTATTGCAAATAATAACCTAAACTTTCTCAACTATATATATATATATATATATATATATATATATATATATATATATATATATATATGCAAATGTATACTGCGCTCAACTTTCCCGATCAACACGAATCTACAATGTAATGTTTGTTTAACTCATTGCTAAGTTTGTTGAAAGGATGAAAGGTCGTTGCAATGCTCTACTATAACCTTCTCCTTCCACAATATTACAAAAAAAATACTCGAATGACTTTAAAAATATATGTATGTGGCTTGGTAAAGATGTAGCAAGCGCACCCAACAAAACAAACTTTCGGTACGAATGAGGAAACAAATGACGTGGTAGTGAATTCAATTTTCAAAATGTCTGTAGCGTTAGAATTGAACGTGAGTGCCCCTCTTCCTACTCCTCGCCCTTCTCCTTCGCGCTTTTTCCTTGTTCTCCGTCAGTTATCGTAATTTTTATCGTCGTCATTCCTTTCTTTCTTGTTGGCTTCTTTGTCTTGTGTGTGTGTGTGTGTGTGTGTGTGTGTGTGTGTGTGTGTGTATTTGTGTGCATGAGTGTATTTATGTGTGTAAACACAAAGAAAAAAAGAGGAATAATGTGCTTTTGGAAGGTCGAGAAAGATTGCTTTGCGTATCACAACTGTGCATTGGTCGTTGCCAAATATATTTGCATATCTAAGCGAAACTGTATAAGAAGGGAATCTCAAAGAATGACGTGGTAGAAGGATGGAAGGGGCTAGTGGGGATGTCCTTCTCAACAGTAAGGCGATGCTCACAGTGCCTTCGACGAGCACACGACGAATGAGGGTGATGCAACAAGTTGATAGGCAAACTGGCGTAAACGAAATAAAGATGTATCAGGGAGCAGCACTATGGTTGCAAATGCTAAAAGGAGCGACTTCGGGTTCCATGTCACGAATCGTACTCTGCATAATGTGTGACACATCACCATCACGAGTTCTTGAAGTCAAGAGTACTGATCTGAACATGAATATAACGATTTGAGGCAAATGCGGCAATGACAAGCGTATTGTGGAAGACTGACGGATATAGTTCACAATTTAGAGTACAACAACACATTTGGATGAGGGTCTAATACTGTGTATGGCGTGGAAATGGATGCTATCAGTATTATCTTTGCTCATGTAAACGTCAAGCTTGACAACTCCATGGTGTGCAATTATCGAAACTACTTTTATCATCGTTTACGTGATAAATTAAAGGTTGCAGGTGAAAAAATGCTTTTGATCGAAGTTCAATTTTTTTTTGAGAACCGAAAAGGGGTAGAATTAATAAACCTTCCTCAATTACCGTCTTAACCCGAAAACAAGGTACGTACCTTGTATTCAAGTTACCTTCAAAAAACGGGTTCTAAAAAATCGCTGTTAAATTTTTGAATAGAAGGTACCGTCAAATACAAGGTACGTACCTTGTATTCGAGGTGTGCCTTGTAACTGTCACATAACTCTCTCTCTCTCTCTCTCTCTCTCTCTCTCTCTCTCTCTCTCTCTCTCTCTCGTGTGTTGTCTACGGACCCACCTGCTTCCACGCACGGGCGCTATTCTCTCTCTCTCCCCCCCCCACACACAAACACACACACTCAAACACACGTAACGTTCGAATGCATGCCGGATCGTGAGCACATAGTGCAGTCAATGTACTATTAAAAAAAAAAAAAACTTTACACTGCAGCCCCGACTGCTAGCAGTCGATTGTGTTATTTATAATATTATTACTAATATATATATATATATATCGTCAAATAGAACTGCCCGGTAAACCGTAGGCAAAGAGGGAGAAGAGGACAACAAACGAGGGGCTGTGACAAACTGTTTCGTCGGAGTTT